AACTTTTGATGAAAACTTGCTCAAAATAACAAGAAAGCCAATAATGAAGATCAAGTAAATAGGAAAAAATAAATTCAGCCCAGCCTTATGCATTTCAGTCATTCCATTATAAAGACAGAGTGGAAAACCAAGGTTAAGGTTCAACCAAGATATGAAGGCACTAGAAAATCGAATGAAGTAATATGATACACTATTGCAGTCACTGCATGGTATCTTTAAATACCCTGCAATTTTAGCATTGGCTATTTGTGCAAAGAATATGATGCTGTTAAGTGTACCAGTTGATAATGTTAACTTGAGTGTATACAATAGGAAGACAATGAGAGGACCAGCTAGTATGTAAATAATTGATGAGATGAGCCATAATTTATTGGTACACATCAGACAGATGGTAGAGCCAAGCACCACACTATAATTAGAGATGCATTTCCCACAAAGTTCTCCTGTTCGTGAACCATAGCACAATGGTTCTGAATCTCCTGTTGATGATGAAGCAACAAATGAGCCAGTATCATTAAATGTTAGTGTATTATGAAGGTCATGAACATTACAGTAGTCTGGAGGACAGTTTAAGCTATAATGAAGTGAACCATTTTTGCCTAAGCCAACCCACAAATATCTGTATGGTCTGGTAAAGCTGACATCATTGATATTGCACTTTAACTCTTTTTCATTTGTATAATGGTTGACAATTTTTTCAAAATTTGGTAAACAGTCACAGGCTCCCGTATAAAAATTCAGTTGGAAACCAGGCGGACAATTATTCAGTGTAACTCTGACTGCAGTTATGTTGCTTGGGTTTGATATACTAAAAAGTAGCAATCCTCTTCTATTCCTTTTTAATAGGTGATTTGTGTGAATAGTCAAATTGATAGTTGTACAGTTGGTTGTTCCCTTAATAATGGTGGTATATGTAACTTGCTTACCATTAAAAAACCAGTCAATACCTTTTAGTTGATTATTTTTTCTCTCAGCAACTGATACTGTTAAAACACTGTATGTGTGATGATGATTGCTGTCATTGACACTGATTGGTATTTGTAGCAACTCCCCAGGATAGAGTGCATATGAAAGCTTTTTATTGCACACTACTATATAAGCACCAAATGATACGATGTCAGTTAAAGAAGTGTTTTTAAAAATATTTTTATATATAGTTATAATTTTTTTATGATGCACTGTATGCATATAGCAGTTAGATTCAAAAAGTTTCTGAGAATATATAGCATTCCCCGCTATTCCTGCAGTATTGTTAATAAAGCTCATACTAATATTATTATAACTTTCTCTTTTGGAATACAACTGAAAAGTGCATTGACTCATTAAGTATACATCACCTGTAGCATAAATGGCCCCTCCTAATGATTTAGCTTTGTTATTAATAAAGTTAGCCCTTAGTCGTTCATTTAAGTTTACTATACTATCTTCAAGCAACAAAAATGCTGGCCCTTGATCAGCCGTATTGTTATAAAATGATAAAATTCCTTTAAGTACAACATACGATTTTAATATTTCAAAAACAGATCCATAGTTTTTTAAAAAACTACTAGGACATACCTCGGACCCATTGATTATCAGTCTGTTTATGTTGATGAAGTAAAAAACACTTGCTGGAAGGAATTCATTGACAAAATTAGATTCGCCATAATTTTGTAAATAAGGATTATGATATGCTGTTATAGATTCCATTAAAAAATATACCTCTGATTTAATATTATTTGGATGAACAATAACATACATACCAGCTCCATGACTTTGGGCAATGTTGCGAATAAATGAAACATTTTGAAATATAAAGTGCAGCCTTGGTTTTGTAGAATTATGATTGTTCAGAAGCACATAAATAAATACTGCTCCTGCACTCCATGATTGCAAAAACTGTCCATTATTTGTAAAGTTAGTGTTTGTGATTGTTAAAACTTGATAATCTTCTTTAAGTGAATAACTATACTCCTTAAAAATAAAATAGCTTACAATTGCTGGTCCATGACAACTTGATATTAATGAATTGTTAGAAAAAAAGGAATCTCTAATAACTGTTTGTGAATTATGACCACGTTTAAAATTTTGGTGAATGATTAACATTGCACCAGCAAAGTAACCTCTACAAAAACAGAATTTTGTTTTCAAAATGTTAACAGTAGCAGGCTTACTATAATGTTGCATATACAGTAATGTGACACCAGCAGCATTTACAACTGGTAATGAAGAACTGAATAGTTCATGAACCCCAGCAACACAAAGTGCTGTCCGCCAATATTGATTAAATGCAAAATTATTTTCAAAACTAGAATTAATAATACTTAAGTTATATCTTGAATAGTCTTTTGGAGCAGCCTGGTTACTGAAAAGCACTAGTACTCCAGTGCCAATGCTAATCTCTGCAAAAGCAAATAAATAAATACTTTGGGATGAGCTAACATTAAGGCAATTCAGAGAAGCATTCAGGAGATTAACTGCTATTATAGCAAACCCAGTGTAGTGCATAAAATGCATTTGCTCTACATACAGATCACCAATATCAGTAAAAACCAGTACAGCAGCATGATATTGAGTAAAGTGTATAGGAGTTTTAGGAGAACTGGTGGAGTTAATAAGATTAATGACTTCTTTATTTAAGGTAGTAAGGTTAGTACCACAGTAGCTAAAATTAAGACCTCTCATGGTAAGGGAACCATTGATACCATAGAATGCAAAACCTCTTGTCCAATATTTATCATTATCTCTGGCACTTTTTGGTACACAGTTTACGTGTGCAAGAGTATTAACACTATCACTTTGGATAGTGAGGGAATGACTGATATTAACTGTACAGAAATTACCTGAGCTGATTTCATGAGTGATGGTGGAATTGAGTGTAATGATAACATCACTGCTGTAC